AGTCATTCAATTCTAATTTTAACATGGTATCACGCTAGGTTAGGTCCCCCCCGCCCACCCGCGCTTCCGCCTTAGGCCTAGTCCTAGCCGCCCGTTCCTAGCCGCCCGTACCTAGCTTCCCATCGCTAGCTGCCCGTCTCGAGCCGCCCGTTTTGAGCTGCCCGTACCTAGCCGCCCGTAGCTTCGCGCCCGTTGGCCCCGAGTTCGCCAGCCCTGCGCCTCTAGCCCCGCATTCGCCAGCCCCTCACCTGCTGGCTCGGCGCTCGCTAGCCCCGCGCCCGCCAGCCCAGCGCCCGTCGGCCCCGCGCTCGCCAGCCCCGCGCCCGCTGGCTCCGTGCCTGCTGGCCCCGCGCCCGCTCGCCCGCGCTCGTTGGCCCCGCTTTCGCCAGCCCCGCACCCGCCAGCCCCGTGCCCGCCAGCCCCGCGCCCGCTGGCCCCACGTTCGCCAGCCCCGCACCCGCCAGCCCTGTTCCCGTCGGCCCCGCACCCACTCGCCCGCGCTCGCTGGCCCCGCTTTCGCCAGCCCCGCGCCCACTAGCCCCGCCTTCGCGAGCCCCGCGCCTGCTGGCCTGGCCTGCGCCAGCCCCACGCCTGCTGGCCCCGCATTCGCCAGCCCCGCACCAGCAGGCCCCACCTTCACCAGCCCCGTGCCTCCGCCGGCCTCGCATTTGCCAGCCCCATACTCGCCGGCCCCGCCTGCTGGCCCAACGCCCACCAGCCCTGCGCCTACTGGCCCAGCGCCTGCCAGCCTTGCGCCTACTGGCCCCGTGCCTGCCAGCCTTGCGCCTGCCGGCCCTGTGCCTTCTGCTCTCCGCCGGTCCCAGCCCGCCCCAGCTCTTCCGACTACCGAGCGGCACTGCCCCCACGGCCTTGGCTCCCCCCTCTGAGCCGGCGCTCCCGCCGGCAGCCTACACCGCTCTCCACCACACTCCACCGCACTCCACCGCTCTCCACCGCACTCCACCTCACTCCACTGCTCTCCACCGCACTACACCTCACCCCACCGCTCTCTGCCGCCCTCCTCCGCCTTCTCTCTTCTCCTGGTCAGTGGCAGTCAGCTGCTGCAGCCGTGGTGACGGCGGACTCACAGCTCTGCCTGGACGCGGAGGGCCGGGCGATCGACTTTGAGGCGTGGCTCGTCGACCTGCGCCGTCACCTTACAGGTCAGCGCCAGGACGGCCACTCCCCGGCTGTTCATGTTGATGGCCTGCTTCCCCTCCCCGCTGTGCCTGTTGCCCTCCCTGATGCCCCCACCACTGCTGAGCGTGCGGCCTTTTCCGCTGCTGCGCTTGCTCGCGCTGTCTGAGAGTCGTGTGACGCAGTTGCGCAGCTTGCTATTAGTCACGCACTTCCCCTGTCTGAGCGTCCCCGCTTTACCACTGTAGCGAACGCCAAAGAATTCTTAGATGCAATCATCGCACGCAATTCCACCCCAACCGCCGCCTCTGCTGGCTGCCTGATCCTCCCCATGCTGTTCTCTGATCTTGCGTCCTTCCCCACTGTCGCCGATCTTGCCACTCACCTCCGCGCACTAGAGACTAGCTACCGCGCCACTAGCACAGAGGCTCAGCTCGGTGCCTTTCCGCCGCCGCTTTGCGCTACCCTTTACCTTATTGCCACGTGCCTTCCTAACTGCCTAGCCACTGCCTGCAACCACTTCCTTAGTCAGCACCCCGGTGACCTCACCCTCACCACCTTTGTCACTGCCCTGTCCGTGATAGAGACCCGCCAGTGCACTATCGCTCAATCTAGTGGTACTGTGTCGGTCCCTTTCTTTCAGGGCTGTGCTCCCTCCCAATGCACTTACTCTGGCGTCTTTGCCGCTGTTGCTGAGACCGCCGCTGCGGCCCCAGCGCAGCCTCGTCTGGGTAGGGGCCGCCGCCCCAAGGGGGTGCGTGGCGGAGGGAAGGGCGGTCGGGGTGGTGAGGGTGGAGGAGGTGGGGGGGGGGAAGGTGGTTCCGACGAGGGGATCGGGGCTGATGCCCTGGAGCAGGAGCAGCCGCAGCCTCAGCAGCAGCAGTAGCAGCTTTTTGAGCTGCAGCAGCAGCCGCAGCAGCAGACGCCGTGGGGACCCCCGCCGCCATGGTGGACTAGCGGTGCTGGTCGGGGTGGTCGGGTGGCGTCTAGAGTGCGGTCACCTGTCAGTACCAGCTTCAGACCGGCCCCGCGGCGACACCGTCTGCTCCCTCTCCGGCCACATCACGGACTGCTGCTACCGCCGCCTGGACGACCTCTTCCATCACCGCTTCGGTCCCATGTCAGACACTCCTGACTCGTACACCCTGGCTCGCCGTCGTGTGCATGTCTTTGAGCTTGTTATGGATAAGATTAGGACTACTATGTCTGTCATGTATGCTGATGACTCTAGTGTGATTGGACCCTATTACCCGGTGTTGCCTAGAGTAGGTGTGTCCCCTGTGTGTAGTCTAGGCTCCCCTGCTGCGTCAGGCGTTCGACCCCCTAACTTGTGTAGCCTAGGTTCCACGCTAGCCCCTCCCCCAGCTAGCGCTTTTGCCTCGCTCTCCTTCACGCTCAACTTTGGCGCGTCTGCCTGCTCCTTTCGCGACTACACTACGCTCACGCCGCTTGCTGCCCCTGCCACTGCAGCGCTTGTTGACCCCTCCTCAGGTCCGGTAGTTGCCCGTAGTTCCACCACCCTTCCCTGTCCGGCGGTCCCCTCGGGCCCCCTTACAGGCCTGCACAACCCCTCGTTCTTCAGGAACCTAGTTGGTGTCGGCTGTCTTCAGGACATCGGCATCACCACTACGTTCCCTGGACACAAGCGGTACTCGGTCTGTACCGATGCCGCCAGCGGTGCCCCTCTGACCACGTTTCCCCGGAACCCTGTGTTTGGCATGTTTACGCTGGACACTGCTTCCCCCCCGATAGGGGCGTCGCCCCAGGTGCCTTCGGCGACCCAGCTACGGCTTGCTCATGTCGGACGCTCACTCACCTGTCGCTGCTGTGGCACCACCGCCTACGTCACCCTGCACTCCCGCGTCTGCGTCACATATCCCATCACGGACTTGTCTTCGGTCTCCCTGCGCCGCTCCCTGCCCTTCCTCCCTCACCTGCGCCGCTCCCTGCCCTTCCTCCCTCACCTGCGCCACCGTGCACGCCTTGTGTGGAGGGCCGGCTGCACCGTGCTCCTCAATCCTCCTCGCTACCCCCTACCACTGCACCACTCCAAACCCTGCACCTGGACGTTTAAGGCCCAGCCCCCGTCCCTGGGCCGCGTCGATAGCGCTACTTCCTAGTGTTTGTCAATGACTACACGCGCTACACTACGGTGTTTCCACTGGAGCATAAGGACGACGTGCCTGATGTACTTATCTCATGGGTCGTAGCTGCACGAGTCCACCGCGGCCTCCCTCTGATGCGGCTCCACTCTGACCGTGGCGGCGAGTTTGCCTCCGGTCGGCTTGGCCAGTTCTGTCGTGCGGAGGGCATCACCCAGTCGTACACCCTGCCGAACTCCCCGCATCGAAATGGGGTCGCTGAGCGATGCATTGATTTGGTCCTGGAGGTGGCTCGTACCTCCATGATCCATGCAAGTGCACCCCATTTTCTGTGGCCGTTCGTTGTTCGCTATGCCGCTCACCAGCTTAACCTGTGGCCGCACTCCCAGCGGCCGAAGGTTTCGCCGACCCTCCTTTGGATCGGGTTCCCTCGAGACGCGTCTGCGTTCCATGTTTGGGGCTGCCTCGCTCACGTTTGTGCCTCTGGCACGAACAAGCTCACTACCCGCACTGTCCCCTGTGTCTTCCTCGGTTTCCCCCGTGACGCACCTGACCGGCACTTTAACCACCCGCCTTCCCACCACTTCTTTCACTCGCATGACGTCACTTTTGACGAGTCTGTCTCCTTCTACCACCGCTTTCCCCACCGAGGTCTCCCGGTTTCCCCGCCCATGTTTCCCACTCCCCCGGTAGCCCCTGCTCCTCTCCCTCCCCGTCCTGCCCTGTCTGGTGTGTCTCACGTCACTCCCCTCCCATCGGTTGTCCCGGTGGAGGAGTCGGCTGACTCCGGGGGCACGGCGGCTTTGTTTTCGCCGCCTGTCTCCGCCCTGGTGTCTCCTCCTCCACCCCCGCAGCCGCAGCAGTTGCCGTCGTCGCCACCGCAGCAGCAGCCGCAGTAGCCACTGCCACCGCCGTCGTAGCCGCAGCAGGGGTCCGCACGTTCTGGGGGTGCTGGCGTCCCTCCTGTGCTCGTCCTGTCTCCTGTTTAGCACTCTCACCCTATGTTGCTTCGTCCTCCCCTCCTCCCGTCGCCTCCTCCGTCGTCGCTTGTTGTCACTCAGCCTCCTCTGTCTGACTTCCTTCATGTCGCCAATCATTTTGTTCCTCGGGTCCTTGCCTCCCTTGTTACCGACCCTTGTGTTCGTTTCTCGAGTCTTGACGCGCTTGTCTCTGTCGTCGCTGAATTTGCCTCTACCCGCCGCCTTGACTACACCACCGCTTTAGTGTCTGACCCTGCCCGTCCTCCATCCTTCGGGGGTGCTCCTGCCCTTGACAGGGGTTCTATTATAAGCCCATAAGCTATATCCAGGTGTATACGATATAATTATCTAGGTTAGCTTGTTTATATTTGTTATAGCCTTAGCTAGGTCAGTTCTTAGAGGGTACAGTCCAACCTTTGTAACCCTCGCTGTTTTCCCTTTGCCCACCATTCTCTCGACAATCTAACTCTATGTACCATACCATGTCCCTGTTAAATTTAGAATTGAATGACTAGAAAGAGGCAAACATGTTGGTTTTGCCTAAGTATTTGTACCCTCTAAGAGTACGCACCCATCTAGCCTATAAGACATATACATTATATGTTTGACACACCCCCTAGGCTAGATGAGGGGCAGTGCCTGGCAAGAGACACACAGCTCAGGGTGGCACTACCAGTCAAACCTCAAAGGTAGGGGTCCGAAGTCCTGCCACTGGGACAAGAGACACAAAGCCAGTCAAGATAATATAAAAGTAGTACACAATCAAGGTTCTAGCAAGTGA